TAGACATAACCTCAATGTGGTGTGCAAATTAGCATGCACCTCACTTTGTATGCCCTTGCTTTACATTCATGTCACTTCAGTAATGCCAGTAGGAACTAGGGGTGTTAAAATTAGATTCATCAACTAATCGAATAGTTGATGGAATTTCCATCGACTATTCAATTAGTCGATAAGGGCGCTTCCGCTTTGAAATGTAGCAAGAGCCCGCCTTGCTGTTGCTCCTTTCAAAGGTGAAAGTGCCGTGCAGTGTTCTGCCTTTGAAATGTACAAGAGCCCCAATAGGTTTTAAGATTGAAATGCCATATGGAGCCCAGGGCGAGTGGGGAACTCCACCGTGTGGTGCTTCCACTTTGAAATGTAGAAGAGCCCAACAGGGACTCTTGTTCATTTCAAAGATGGAATGCCGCTCTTGCCCCCTCCCATGGCTCCTGGGGAACTGTTTTTTAAGCTGGCTTCCCCCAGCACTCCCACTTCTCCCCCCATTACTGATGGAGGCAGCAAGTGGCAGGGGGGATGTAAGCGCTTTTCCATTGGATGCAGATGGAAACCAGCAGACTCTGACATCCTTGAACTTGGGCAGTGGTAAAAAAAAATGTCTCATGGGCCACACACAAAATCCTGATGGCCCACAGGTTGCCCACCACTGACAAATAAAATCTCTTGAACATTTCCCTGATGAATTTATCTCCCAACATTAATTCATAGTTCAGTTTCATTATACAGAGCAATAAGACTTGTGTGGAACCAAGCTGGAGTGTGGCAGAAGGATATGGGCATTTCTCCCTCTTGGCTCTCCCATGGCTACTAGCTGCCTGAAAGAACACTGTATCTTTCCCTCTTGTACTCCTAACATCACCAGTGTATATCTATAGACATACATTGTATGCCTTTAACATGATATATGTGTCACCAACCTTGCCTTCACTGTCATGCTTTGTCATCTTTTCCAGGAAGTTGTATTTGCAGTTCTGAGAGAGATACCATAATGTGCAGACACAAAAATTGTTGGCAGGAGTATTATGTGTGTACTCTGTCCACGCTAGCAGTTTGGTTTGGGTAAAGCAGTGCAAAGTTGTGTAGTATGGAATGGTCCTTGGGTTCTCCTGCACTGATACATGTCCAAGTGTTTTATTTGGAGTGCATTACCTCCATGACAACCATGGGAAATGCCATATGGTCTCTGTCTCAGCTCTCATCATTGGCCTACTTATGCTTTTTGAGCTGTGTGATGGGATTGGAATGGTAGGATGTTAAGAATTTTGTTTTCACAGATTGTCTTCCAACTGAAATCAGGGTCTTTTTTTGCTCCTGCAAGGCCTGCTGTCCTAAGCCCCTTTTCACCCCCAAACTGTGACTCCTGCGCCCCCATACCACCAGCCCCTTGCCCTGAGCCTCCTTCATTCCCAACCCCTGCCCTGACTCCTGCACCCCCAAGGACCCAAGCAACTAGGAATGTGAACGACCAGTCAACTATCCAATAAGCAAATGCTTATCGGATAGTCAAGTCGACTAGTCACTCCCCACCCGCCCGCTTCCTGTATCAGAAAAAGGCAGCGGGGGGTGAAGGATGGGGTACTTCAAAGCGGCAGTGCTGCATGGAGCCTGGGGCCAGACCCCGGGCTCCACATGGTGCTGCCTCTTTGAAACACTGCATGCAGCCCGGGGCCAGCTGGGGTGTCCCCCGGCTGCATGCAGCATTTCAAAGTGGCTTCAAAGTGGCAGCACCATGTGGAGCCCAATATCAGCTGGGGACTCCCCTGCTGACCCCAGGCTGCGTGCGGCCCTGCCGCTTTGAAATGCCACGTGGAGCCTGACACTGAGCTCCCTGCGGCATTTCAAAGTGACAGCACCACATGGAGCCTCAGGTCAGTGGGGAAGTTCTCATATGATCCCGAGCTCCACAGGGCAGTGCCACTTTGAAACACCATGGGGAGCACAGGGCCAGCAGGGGACTGCCCCTCTGGCCTCGTGCTCCCCCACAGCACGTTAGTATAGCAACAGCCCTAGGGTGTAGCAGCAGCCTACACTTCAAAGGCAGAGATTAATTGAAATTGTATCGATTATTTGATTAGTCAATTACTCGAAATTTAATGTCCCTATAAGCAACGCCAGGTAATAAGAGCAGACCTCATAAGGTGATGTTGGATAATGCACCAAAAAGTTCAAGTGCTATCCAAACTTCTGAGGTCTCCATCTTACACTGATACAAAGAGGGCTTCTGCCTTAAAACTGTAGTGCTATCTTGCTTCTGTCTGTCTACTCTTGCCTAGCTTTTTCCCCAGCTTGTAATATTGCAAATTAAAGGTGGTTTGCTAAGTAGAGTTCAGTCAAACTTGTTTAATTTTATAGGTCTGAAGACATGGTTCCTGCCCCAGAAATTTCAAACCAGATGATGACTGATAGCCCCAGGATTTGTTTGCTTTGCTTGTTAAAAATAATTTGTAAATTTAAAAACATGATTTGTCCCATGACCTTGGAGATATTGTGTTGAAACTGATTGAAATGGGTGTGTAAACTCACATGATTCACATGTGATTTTGGTCTTTAGAATTATAATGCTTCTCTTACATAGACAAATATTACCATGTTTCATAACTGGGAGAAAAACAGATTTATGCTTTTAGGAAGAATACAAGTAGGCTACGTCTACACTGGCCCCTTCTTCGGGAGGGTCATGCTAATTTTGAACTTGGGAATAGGGAAATCCGCGGGGGATTTAAAGACCTCTTTTCTGGAGGATCTCTTATTCCTACTTTGAAGTAGGAATAAGAGATCCTCCGGAAAAGGGCTTTATACCTTATGATCGCGCCAGTCTAGACGCTTTTTTCCGGCTTTTCTCCAAGCCGGAAAAAAAGCGGCGGCCATGTTTATTTAAATCCCGCCGGGGATATTTAAATCCCCCGCAGATTTCCCTATTCTGACTTACCTGCTTTGCATGACTTTTCCGGAATTAGGGGCCAGTCTAGACGTAGCTGTATAGTTCTTCTGTCAGTGAAAACCTCTGAACAAGTTATTCCAGGAAATTGTTTCTATAGGTAATATCAAATTTAGGATTTTGATCGTTTAGAGACTGTCATTTCTGTGAAAATAGAATATGAATTTTAGTTTTGCCATTTCTAGATTCTTTTACTAAACAAATGTAAAAAAAGTTAGTCTCCCAAGTCACACCGAAGTCTTTAAAGATTGGGTTTCTTCATGAATTCAAAAAGAAAGCTTGAAACACTTATCTTAGTGTACCTCCAATAAAGACTTGAATGTACCCATTTTTTTATTGTAGTAAGCGCTGATAGTTACCAATGGAAATTGAACCTGCAAAATAAAGTTGACAAGGAGTCCTGTGGCATCTTATAGACTAACAGATGTATTGGAGCATAAGCTTTCGTGGGCAAAGACCCACTTTGTCAGACGCATGTCAAAATAAAGTGCTGATTCTGTTGTTTGATTCATCCAGGTGAATCCCTGTGCTTATAGAGAAGCCTTTCTGTTCATGTCTTAAAGGAAAGCAAATAATAAAATTCTCCACTCTGCTCCCCAAATCCACTGTCACCTAATCAGGAAAGGAGAAAATCCACATGCCCATGTTAGTGCACTCGCTATTTTAAGTGTATTGTCCAGTAAACTGTTTGGTTAAAGCAAAACTGCCTTTTCCACATCATGAACACTGAAGTAGGCTCAACTCTGTTTTCAAAATTTGGTGCTTCTTTCCAACAGCTGGCATTTAGTCAGAAGGCTCAATGAAGACCTGTATTTTTGTTGAATATGCGTGTGAAGAATTGATCACATATATAACATGCAAGCAGAAAAATGTACAGACGAGTAATATATTCACTTGGTGCTTTAGTTGGGCTAGTTTCACAAAGCTGAAAACTAATTCAGCTGGGAGAGAGACTTGAGTCACAAAAAATGTGAATTATAATCAGGAATAATTTCAGAACACCTTATTAGATGCCCAAAAAGCCACAATCCCACAACTGAAGAAGAAAGTTGGTTTAGAGGGGAAGTGAAGGCAAATGCAGGTGTGCGCACACAAAAAAAAGAAAGGGGAAGATGATAGTAAAGAATATAAATCAGAAATTAAGAATTGTAGAAAATAGACAAAGGAAGTGAAGGAACAAAAGTGGGGAGGTGAGTTTGATACATTTTTTTTCAAGTACATTAAGAACAAAATGAATTCTGACAATGGTATTGGTCCATCAGTAAATAGAAGTGGTAAAATGATCAATAATGATGCAGAAAAGGCAGAAGTGAATATTTCTGTTCTTTATTTCTGAAAAAATGAATAATGCAGTCTAATTATATGGTAACATTTTTTCTGTTCCACTATTATCTTAGGAGGATGTTAAACAGAAGCTACTAAAGTCAGACACTTTTAAATCAGCGGGGCCAGATAAGTTTGCATCCACGAGATTTAAAAAAATGCTGGCTGAGGAGCTCACTGACTGGACTACTAATGTTGATTTAGGAAAAAAAAAAAAAGTCTTTTGGACACTTGAAATTCCAGATGACTATAAAAATACTGATTTTGTGCCAATTTTTTAAAAGGAAAAGGAGTGACTGGGTAATTATAGGCCTGTCAGTCTGTCATCAATTCCAGGCAAGATAATGGAGCAGCTGATATGGGACTTGCTTAATGGTGAACTACAAGAGGTTGATGTAACTAATTCAAATTACCATGAGTTTATGGAAAGTAGATCCTGTCAAACTAACTTAACTTGATTTTTTTTGTGAGATTACATGTTTGGTTGCTAAAGATGATAGTGTTGACGTAATACATTTTTGTAAGATGTGTGACTTGGTACCATGCAACATTTTAATTAAAAATCTAAAGTGATAAAATTAACCTGGAATACATGAAATGGTTTAAAAACTGGATAACTGATAAATCACAAAGACTAACTGTAAACAAAATCATCATCCAGTAGGGTTCTGTATCTATACTGTACAGCTACCCCTTGTTATTTTTTTTTCTGGATCTAATCTAACAAATCTTTCATTTATAGTTCCTCAGTAGGAAGTGCACTCCCTCGAAGACGCTGCTGTGCGTACATTACCATTGGAATGATATGCATCTTCATTGGAGTTGGACTAACTGTGAGTAATGTACTTAATATTAATTTGCTGTCGGTCTCTTCCTTTTACCAGTGTTTAAGTAAAAGCTCTTCAATTTCTGCTTTCAGCATTGCCTGTCACCATCTCACTAATCACCTACTTATGCTCTGGTATGCATCCTGGAAAAGACTGGTAGGCTTTTTGAAGGTAGTGATTTGAGCTGGCTGGAAAATAGTATTTAATTTCCATGACAAATTTTGAGATTTAGAGGAAAAAAAATATTGTTGATTTGGGATGAAAAGCCAAAAACCTCAACATTTTTTCAGAACTGAAATGCCACAATGCTTAGTTTCAGAAACTCGGAGGCATTCCCTCAGTGGGGACATTTTAGTGTCTGAAACAAGAAATGTGTCTTGCCCTGGCTTCCTGCCAGGTGAGGAACTTGGAACCTTGTGCTCCCCAGCAGCTTGCCACATAGGTAGGAAATTAGGTTTCTTGGGTCTAGTTTGCATCAGCTGTTTCATCGAATTGACCAACAGAAAGTTTTTTAGTTTTATAGATTAGCATTTTCCAATAGAAAATTTGTGACTAGCTCCAGTTATGATATTAATCTTGCTTCAAGAGACTGCCAGGAAGCCATGTAGGCTAAACCTTCCTGTCCCTGAGGGATGAGAATAAAACATACATGATGGTGCACTATGCATGACACCACTATCAGGTCACTAAATAAGTGGGACATACTAGCATACAAGCCAGAATAATAAGCAGTTCTGCCCACAACACTGGGTACCTTACAATGCCTTCTTGAAGTAGCTTTCACCAGAGCTTTTCACAAATGTGCAAGCCACAACCTGAGTAAGTGTACGTACCTACAGCTTGCCGCTCATGTTTGGATTACAGTCTGGTTCTCCTCAGCCTTAACTATTCTGCAGGCTAACCTCTGTCACACTCCCAGTCTTAGATTTTCTCCATGAAATGTATGTCCTGTGGTGCCCATTCCCTTCCTGGACAGTACAAATGATATTTCTTTTTAGAGATCAGTATGCACACAGCAATATGCCACCCCAGATAGTAACCGAGACACTTTTCTTTGAACACTTTGGATTAGGTAAAACAATAAAGTAGTAAATGCAAGAGGTTTTAAGTGAATATAAGTAATGGGGCATTCCAATCAGAAATGGTAAGAAGAAAAATAAAGATAAGATGTTTACTAATACCTAACCTAACTATATCAGATTTAAACAAAGTTCCTCACCACATGCTTTTAGCATTCTTACTGACCAAATCCCTGAAGGCCAGGTTTTGTCCCAACAGATGCTTCCTTTGTTGCTTTAGGTGCATTGAAAGTAAATGCTCAGGGAAAAGAGGGTCTTAGTGCATTTGTTCCTTCTTTTTATAGTTTCAATCCCTCTCTTGAAAAACATTTCCTGCTGGACACTAGGAATCAGAGTCTCTGTGAAAGGAAGTTTCCCACTGGCTTTATCACTTTTTTGAACTTGCTTTCTTTCCCTTCCTGCTTGATTACTCTGTTTACTGCTTAAATGCAAAGTAAGCAGAGCATACTTTACTGTGTTTAGGATAGAACGTAAGAACGGGCATACTGTGTCAGACCAAAGGTCCATCTAGCCAGTATTCTGTTTGCTGACAGTGGCCAATATCAGATGCCCCAGAGGGAGGAATCACAACAGGTTATCCTCATGTGATCCCTCTTCAGTCACCCTCCTCCAGAGAAACCGAGGCTAGGGATACAATTCCTACCCATCCTGGCTAATAGCCATTGACGGACTTGTTTGTCACCCTCTGTTTGGGCAGGGCTGTGAGGTTTGAAAGATATGTTAATAATATCATACAGGCAAATATTACAACTTTTACATACAATGTTGTCACACATCAGGATCATACTGGCCAGCAAATTGAGTTTTCAAATGGCAATTTACAAGAGGTGCTTTCTACAGACATTATTAAAGTAATATGTAGGATGTGAAGAGAAGGTGTACTCATTTAGTAAGAAGGTATAATTTACAAAAGGGCCTATATAATTTGAGAGCTTTGTCATTGAGCAACATGATGATTGACAAGTATAGTGTAGACAATTACAAAGTAATTCGTATTGTAAGGAATAATTTTAACCAGGGAGTTGGAGAGTAAGGGAAAATAAGGCTGGCTGGTGTGTGAATGGGTAGGTTGGAAAGGTAATAGTGAAGTGTTGGGAGAATTAGTAGTATGGTCACAGAAATACTGTTTCCCCTCATGCTGCTGTTTTCTACAAAGTTTCCAAGTTTTCTTCCTGGTATAGAGATGGTGCATTTTTGTTCCCATTTCCATACCAACTTCCCTTTTTTCTCACTCAAATGCTTTCCTGTGACACCACAGTTATAGTGTTCCAGTTTCTCTCCTTGAAAATCTGACACATCTACTGGGATAAAGGGATATAGATTGATACTATAGCCCCACCACTTACTGAGTGTTGCCAGCTGTGATGGATAGGAGGAGTGCGGGCCAGCACCCACTGACTAAGGGGTTAAATTCAGGTAGCTAGCAAGGTTGTTGGCAGGGAGCCAGAAGAACCAATGGAGATAGAGTGCTGAAATTTTAATTGTATATGTTACATCGCCTGTTTTCTTTGTGAGAGAAAGTTAAGTCAGGAGTTGAGACAGGATGATTTAAACCCAGACAGGACTACCATGTCTCCAAAGAATTCAGGGCATGGAAGTGTACTGAACCAGAAAGGGATTGTAACTAAATAAAGGGAAAACGTGTATCTAGTCTTGATCACGGTATTTTTCTTTCTTTTTGTGGTTTGATTTGAACTGCTCTGTGTGAATCCATGCCTCCCCTCTCCCATTCACAGTCTAAGAGATGTTCCCAGAGATTTTCTTTGTGTTTTAATTTGCTTTACTTAGTTGCTCTGAAACACCCAGAAATCAAGTATGCTGTATCAAGTATATCTTCTGTTTTGTAATAAACATCATTTTACAGTGATAATTTGATTCTTGTGTCCTGGAAAAGAACAAGGGCTCTCTGTCTCTGTCTAAGACGAGTGGTCAGATACCAAGAGACTGCAGTTAGTTTTCTCTTTGCTTTTTCAAGCTCTCTTGTGGTAAAGGAGCTTGGGGTAACCCCTCTAGAGGAAGTTCAAGTGCTTCTTCCTGGGTTCAAGGAGACAGGGGGTTTTTTCCCTTTTATTTCACTTGGTGGTGGCAGCTTTTTTGTTTATTTCTCACAGCCAGTATATCTGTGATGTAAGCCTAGAGGCAAAGATAAATTTAAGGTCTTTGTGAGCCCCCACCATCTGCACTCCGAGTGCCAGAATGGGGAATAGCCCTGACACCAGCCATCATTACTTTTCGGACAGAAAATCTCCCATTACGTTTTGGCCCAAATTTTGGCTCCACAAATGGAAACGTTCATTTTATAAACTAAGCCAGAAATCATAATCCAAACTCCCCTTTCCACCTGAGATCCAGGGCCATAAGGAGTTTCCGTTTGCATTTCAACCCCAACACAGGAGGAACTTGTTGTCTCCCATTTAGAAAGCATCCTCTCATGAACATGGGTTCTATTTCTAGTGTCCAGTTCCTGTGGCATCTCACCCCTTCCTGCATATTTACCTGGGTTTAACCTAACAACCTTAAACCTGGGAAGAAAAACATCTTTTTCCTCTCTCTGGCCACCTATTTAATGTCCATTCTCAAGAGGTGAACACAAACAGCTGACACACTACTATTCTTAATGTCACCGATGAAATGGGAAAGACTCTCCCATGTTTTGCTAATATAGGTTGATGCTTCTATATAGTTTCACTGTAAATATCTTCCAGTTACTTAGGGGCAAATGCAACCTGTTTCTTCTAAGGCTGAGGAGAACCCCTTAGCAATCAAACGCCTGCATTTTCATGGTATGCGTTGGGGGTGGGGGAGACATTTCTGAATGGGGATGGAAATATAAAAGGGTCTACATATCATTGTACCCATGTTACCAACCTGCAGACCAGTGATGGAACCTCTGTAGTAGTCACTATTACATCCACACAGTGATGATTTCCCCACAGCTGCATACTGGGGTACAAGGAGTCCCTGCATAGGAGTTGAATTTTGTCTTTATGAGATTACTCAAGCTATTAATATGCACAGTGGAATTGCCAGATTCTGTGACAGGCCTTTTGCATGTTTAAATGAGTAGTAGAGGACTGGCCTGTAGTGAAGGGACTGAAAGTAAGAAACTATATAGAGTTTAAAGGCAGTTTCTTTGAGTTTTGATATGATTTTAAACATTGGCATTATTCACTTAAAAAAAATCTTCATGGGATTTTAAAAAATGGTATTGTGACCCTTGACAGTGCTTATTAAGTTTAATATGTTTTTAGAGATACCCTTTTTCCCCTCCTCAAATTGATCAGACTGTTGTATTACTGATATTTTGTTTTTGTTTTTTTTTAGGTTGGTACGCAAGATTTTGCCAGGCGTTTCCATGCAACATATGTTTCTTGGGCTATTGCTTATCTCTTAGGCTTGATCTGCCTTATTCGAGCCTGTTACTGGGGAGCCATAAAAGTTAGTTATCCAGAGCACAGTTTTGCGTAGATTATAGCACGTAAAAAAGTCTAGTGGTTCTGGATGCTACATGTTGGACATTTTTTAATGTTTTCCTTTAAGGATTCCATTCGGTTACAAGTAATTTTAAGACTGGGGATCTTTTAATAACAAATATTCATTGCACTACATTTTATGCAAATAGTTTGTTTTGCTGCTAGATTCCCAAGCTCTGAAAACTAAAGCTTTGTTTACATGTTCATGCACCTGTCTTAAAAGTGTTGTTGCATTTAATTCCAATAAACAGTATTAAGTTTTACATTTCCTTTTTTTATGTTAAGATAAGTCTGTGCCATTCTTTGGGTGGTCAGTAAGGACTCAAAAGCAACAGGTGTTTTCTAAGTGTTTCTACAATAGCATCACATTTGTACTTACATTTTCATTAAAACTGCGTTAAAGTGGCTTGCTTTAAAATCTAAGCAATAAGCACTTTGCTTTAACTGCTTACTGTAACATTTACCTAAGATCATAGTGACCTTATTCAGGAAGTGAAATTTGAGTGTACTTTTGAAGACTGACACTGTTGCTAGAGAGACAACATTGGTAAACACTGTATGCTTTCAGATTTTCAGGTAGAGAGATGCAATATTTTGGTAATCCAGTTGGAAACAGAAACTTCAGTTTATCCAGTGTTGGAATTCTGCGTGGATAAATGTTTTTTTCAAAGATCCTGGAATTTACTAATGGTTTCTTTTTTTACAGGCAAATCCTAAAAGCCATGTTTGGATTTATGGAACTTACTCTGGTTGTTTGTATGAATTCCTTTACAGGGTCAAAGGGAAGTGTTTCATATGACTTGTTTTATAATACTTAGGTGTCAGTTAGCTGAAGATAGGGTGATGATGGGTTACCTCTTACTTTCCTCTGACCATCGTAAACTTTTCCTATTTGGAGAATTTTGCACTGGCCACTGCAAAAGGAGGTACTGCTGTAATATGAAAATGAGTAAACTGTTACTCTGATCATTCTGTCAAAATACAACTGGTCAATTTGACATTGGCGATTCATTCAAGACAATTCAGAAACTGAAACCAATTTCATTTTCTAATGATGTATAAACAAAGGATTGAGGGGCCAGTTCTTGCACTGCCCGTCTACAGTTTTAAACTAGCTTTTTGGTAAATTCAGAAGGAATGTCCTGAGCTCTTTAGAAGACAGTAGTATGTAGATAACGGGGTTGGGGTAAATTAATGTGGATGTTCCAGGGATGAGTATATTATTTTAAATGATCTATGTTCTTATTAGGACAAAGTGACATTCAGATGAGGATTTGGAGCACAATAAATGTATTATTTAAATTGTAAATGACATGTATTTGATGATAAATGTATAAAAGCAGTAGCTCAGGATTACAATGTACCTTTTAAAATAAACTAATAAAGATTATTATTCAAAGTTAATGTCCTTTCCTTTAATATAAAGGATTCATAGGCTCCTAATTAGAAGACTCTGACCTGATAGCATGGGAGCAGTGGAGTTGCCTTTTACAGGAAGCATGTGATTGCTCCCTTACCTTGTATTGATAAAGATCTTTACAATTCACAGGAAAATGCTCTCTATGAACAGAGCACATATGTTTTGGCCACAAATGAAAAATGTGACACTTCCCCTGCTAGTAATGGATTGAACTGTTTCTCTGAACAGGATATCATGAAATTTCCAACTTTCAGCTTTTTAAACATTCTTAAGCTATGTCTAGACTATGCTGAATTTCGAAAGAGGATATGCAAATTCTGCGGGAATTTGCATATCTTCTTCTGATCTCACTTTCGAAAGTGGAGCTTTCCTCAAAAAATGAGGTTTACGTGGCTTTTTGGAAAAGGAGGGGGCTTGCCGAAAAAAACACATCCCAACTACTCTTTCGAAAGTGAGATCAGATGTGAGATCCTCTTTCGAAACCTCAGCGTAGTCTAGATGAGCCCTTACAGTGATTGAAAACTGTTATAAAGTATTTAATTGTGATATTTATCCCAAATTGGATATTTGGTGTTTTTCCCCTTTCATGTTGTCCTGAATTTGTCTGTATTTAAGACAAAAAGGGCATATTTCTGGAAACCTGGACACTTGGTTGTAGGAAAGTATCTATGTTGCCACAAGATCAGAGAGAACGTTGACTTTCCATTTCCTTCCTTTTTATAAAAAGCAATTGTTTACAGCTAGTCTATGTCCATTACAGGCAGTCCCCAAGTTACGCGGATCCGACTTATGTCGGATCCGCAGTTACGAGTGGGGTTTTTCTCGCCCCCAAGGATGGGAGGGGGGGGACGCCCAGATGCGCCGCAGTCCCGCCGCCCGTGTCCTCTGGGGCGAGAAAAGCTGCTCCGCGTCTCCCTCGTCTGCTGGGGAGGGAGCCCCCCCCAACAGACCAGGGAGACACGGAGCAAAGCCGCGGAGGATGCAGGCGGGACCGCGGCGCGTCTCGGAGGTCCTGCCACCCGTGTCTCCCTGGTCTGCTGGGGGGGGGGGGCCCGGCAGGGGACCCCCCCCCCCCCCAG